AAACCTTTATTTTTTAATGTACAAAATAATTATCGTCATGTTTGTTTGTTATTATAACTCATGTAGGAAGGTATGCCACAATGATCCATATTTATTTTGTAAATTATATTTAGATACCTATTACAGTAAATGATACGATTAAAATAAGTACACCTACATGATTTAAATAAATTCTGTAAGACGTAAATCACGGTGGCCACGAACTTTTTCATGAAAATAGGTCGTTGGCCTACTTTCGCTTTTTTTAATGGGACATTAAAAAGGGATTTTATTAGTGTATTTATTTGCATTTAATTTGATTTGTTGATAAGTTTTATTAGTTTCTGTTGAGATTGCGCAGTTTCCTTAATGATTTCCTATAGGTTGGAATTCGACCTTTTTGTTCACATTGCTTTATAGACATACCATTTAATTTATATATAGGTAATAACGTGGCTGTCTTAAAACCTACAAAACAAAGTCGTTTTCTATGTTTCTGTCCCTATATCCAAATGTATGCTTAAATCTTTGAAACTTGGTACTTTGTTATTTTATAGATAGAGTGATTAAAGATAATGTTTATGTTTACTGTTGATCATACAGTTTTCCCTATAAATAAGCTCTACGGTCCACACGCTATAACAGCTTTAATTTCAATAAACAAAACAAGTAACAACGCACAATCAACCTCGAACAGAATAAAAAAATACACGGCATAAAAACGCATACGATAAAATCACCAACGCAATAATCTGGTGGAAATAGAAAGTCCCTTCACCGCATATTTTTACAACAAACGAAGGGCTAAGTGTGTCAAACAAATGGCGATGTGATAACACTCAGTGAAAGCGGCTATTACTTTGCTGGTACATTTAAATACAACCAGCAATAACGACCAAGTTAACATGACCCTTAACCTTTTAAAAAAAATCTGCCCTTCTCAGACAAAAAGAGGAGGGTAAATAAATAAATTGTAGCTATTATTGAGGGCATTTTTTTTAAAATATTGTAGTAAAAGAATATTTATTAAACTATACTCAGCAATTATAGATATCGGGCGATATGTTTGGCATGTTGTGTGTCAATTTAAATTGGTTGCAATAGGTACTTGTATTACCAAGTATAGGCGAAAGTGAATAGAAATCACCAATATAATGAGACATAAAATAAAAGCAGAGCTTCTTTACAAGCAGCTCAAGTTATGTTGGATTTTTATACTTGAGTGTATTAAGCACATCCAAGTACATACTTTTAGTACCGTCTATGGTACTGCATCGTTAAGTTGGTAATAAATATTTATGGCCAACCTAACAGTTTTGTACTTTCTTTACTGTTACGATGTCTTGATATATGTGACATGACTTACAGTAACCGATTATAAATGGTCGTCCGATTAAATGTATACAAATGCTCCGGATCCACCACGACCAGAGAAATCAAACAACATGCAAAAGGATTGTTGGTTAATTCAAACAATATGCGACGCAGAGTTTTTTTTTTTTGAGCGTGGGATATCATCAAATGCCCACTCTCGCCCGAGAAGGAGTTTCAGACTCATACTGACTTATAATCCCCCCTTTAATTCTCCTGCTCCATGCCGAGGCCGTGGTTCTATATTGCACTTGCCCCGCAATCCTAGCTGAACATGTAATGCGGAGCTTAAAGTCTAGTATCGTATGAAGCCGTTACTATTCTTAATTTTCCTATTACGTTTCACATTTATATCACTAGACAGACATGAATAATAAACTTCGAAAATATTCATTGAAGTAATAAACAAAATCTGGTCATACCTACTAAAAGTTCTTACACACTGAAGCCTTTTTTCACTTATCATAAAATTGTATTGGAGTTGGTTTTCCTTATACAAATTAAATTTATAAATCCGGAAGTAATTCCTGTCGGTCTGTCTGTCTTTTCTTCACGCCTAAACTACCGAATCAATTTCTGTGAAATTTGGTACAGACATAGTTTGGAACTCGAGAAAGGACATAGGAAAGTTTTTATACCAAAAATCTGCAGGAAGCCACTATTCCACGTCTTAAATAAGTAAAGGACGAAATAATTTTTAATCCTGATTCAAACACGTTATTGGATGAAGTAGTGATGTCATATCACCATTTTGATCTGTCTTCATGAATTTAAGAGTGGGTGTGACCTGCATAATGTTGCATTATTAAGTAAATTATTCCAGTACATCCTTTTTAACCTTAGCTATCGTGTTTCTTTTAGTCACACCTCAAAATTAAACTCGTTTGTCTGTTTGCTACGTTTTTATGACGAAGCTGCTGAGTCAATTTTGATGGCGACAGGCTCAGAGATAGAGTTAAAGTTTACTCATTATTTCGAGTAAATGAATAAGAAAATATGTGGTCGTTGAATACTTAAATGAGCTTGATTAAACGTATAGGCAAAACAAACTGTGTGCCGTTAATTATAATATTGGACGAAAATTTAAGTTTTGGTAGTGCTTAAGTCATTGACTGTCGAAAAATGACAGTTGAGGGCAAATCCTCCGCTAGCGTGGCCCATATTGCCCCTAATGGCGTTCAACATGTTAAATGTTTTTTTCAATTGTATCTTAAGTAAGTATAAGATCATTCTCACAAAATAATTTTTCCACGCAATAACTAGGTACAGATGGTTGCAAGTTGCAAGATATTCAACCAACTTCCTACTCACATGTTACCCAATGACGCTCAATGAAAGCAAAAACCAACTTTCTACTGATAGATTGAAAACAAACTGATCAAGTTTTAAACATTTATTTTCTTCCTTTCACATTAACTTTGTGAATAAAGTTTCATTTTAATACCAGTTTGACGGGTCCCGCTCGACTCGGTAAGTCTTATATAACGTTAAATACTGCACAGATATCTACAGATACTATATATGTGCTTGTGTCATTTGTTTGAACTTCAAAAAGGTTTAAATGTATAATTTCGGTTTGAAAATTGTGCAAGGAAGACTGTATGTATATATAGGTATAACTATATCTATCTACGTCTTTTAAGCAGGTACCTAAGTTATGGGGGTTAGTTGTGACTCTATGAATATGTGCTATTTAAGCAGTGTATTGACTTTTTTCTTCATTTCTTATTATAGTCTTTACAATATTGCAATAAAGGTGTTTTTCGGTAAACAATAACACACGTTTTCAAGGTTGGTCGTACTAAATGCAGCGTTTGTCAAAATGTGTTTATAAATAACAGGTGACGAAGCCCGCTTGTGTCGTCTTTATCATAAGTAAACATAAACGTAACACATAAAGTCTGGTGATTGTTGTAGCCCATACGATTTTGCTTTCGAAGAATGCTCTAGGTAAATTATTTTTCATGGAAAAACCCCGCTACATCCTCCAAAACCGCAAATCCGTAATACAGGATCTACAGTACCTATACACAACCATGAAAACACCGAAACATTAAAGTATGACCAAGAAGAGAAGCAGCGCGACAGTCGCCGCGTCGCGTGTCGCGGAATGTTGCTCATGAATATGGGCCTCTAGCATGGCTTGAAACTAGTCGAGTATCTCATCAAATTATTACGTGAGTATAATAACAGAAAACATAATAATTATGACCAAGAACTTGTCTTTGATCCCGCAACGATATAAATAGGAAGATGTTATTAAAAGAGCAGAAAAAAAAAAATCACGAAGAATTCAATGCAAGAGAGAGAAGTACTTAAGAATTCATTCTAGGACAGACAAAAAAATTACCTTCTTTAAATATAATTAAACTCGAACGTATGGAAACAGAGGCTGACATATTATACAATATTACACTCGCTTTTATCTAGTTATACTGTTATGAACCCATATTAAAAAGTTGGCCTATTACCATATAAATATTGGACATTTATAATAGCAATAAGGATTTGTATCATACAGGCACTGCTTTTGTAGTTGAATTAATGCACTAAATGTGCCAATTATTATTATAAAAGTTCTGTAACATTGATATGTTAATCCTTGAGAAAGATAACAGGTTATCTAAAGGTTATCTAATATTTCGCTACGAGTCACAGAAAATAACAAATTATGTAGGTTCATACCTACATACTTAGCTTGCTATAAGAACCTAGCTGTGACGTTGTTATTTCACATTCGTAGTATAAAAACGCTTTAATAATAATTATTATTATTAAAAAACAAAACATTACATTATTTATGTTAGGTATTCTTTAAAACTTCTTTATTCAAATTATAGAAAAAAACAATACCTATTCTAAAACTTGAATTTTATTATATAGTTTTTAATTTTTATTCGGCTGAACCAAGAGTTTAGGACATTCTGCCTATTAATTATTTTAATTTTTCTTACTACTATAATTTTTTTATACATATGTACCTATAGGTCTTATTAATCGCTAAAGACATTAAGTCCACAAGTTAATGTAGTTGTAAATCTCAGTTATTGCCCTTTACAATTGTCTCTGGTGTCAATGTCTGGTTCCCCTTTGTCCGTAGGTGCCTACTCCTCGTAATGCAATACTGTACTTACGCCAATTTATTTGCAGTAATAAAAATGTGGTGCACTTTTTATTTAAATTATTTTTCTTTCTAAGAAAGTAAGTATTTATTTATCTTCTAATTTAAAAGTTCTAAAGGGAAAAAATCACAAACAGAATTTATGTTGAGCGGGATTTTCGTAGAATAGAAATCGAGCTCTTAATTTAATTTTCAAATGTTAAATTAAAAGAAGATGGTTACTTTCTGTTAACCTATCATAGGTACCTGTTTACGTCCCCAATTATTTGCTAGTAAATGATAAATATAATCTAGTACCGACGGTACGTGACCGTAATTACTTACATAAGCAAAATCGAAAGCAAGTAACATAGTATGCAGCCATCTAAAACATCACCGATTTTTATTATTAAAATAACCTAATCTGCATAATTGGCGCCAAACGCAACGCAAACAAAACTTGTTTTTGAATATATGTTCATTCCAAATTCAAATTTAAAATTAAACGAAATAAGATGGCCAAAAAGAATATTACTTGAAACTAGCTTACCTTCTTTGATGAATAGAGCCAGAAGAAGAACGGGCACAAAAATACTTAGGTTTGCCATTGTTATTGAAGAAAATACACGCGGCCCACTGGTTACGAAATAACAACACAGAAACTAGTAGTTACGTTCGTTTCGTTTCTCATTCAACGAGCGAATGGCGCGGGAACACGAAAATGAAACTGCAGTGACCTTTCCAACGGTACACAGACGGGCGGGGAAAACGCTGCGGGAAAAACGCTAAACTTGAAACATTTCTTTTTGAAAATATCAATTAGTTTTGAAGCTGTTTGATAAATTTATTTAAAGATAATTCAATAAAAATGCGTTGGGAGGTGGACATCAGTACGATGTTTGGATAGGCTTTTCTAGATTCAAGTATTATTCAACTTAATGACGTACTTTATAGATACTACGTAGAGTGAATTTTATCGATGATTACTGTAATTAATATTTAAAACAATTTTCTACAATTAAAATATAATTTTATTATTTATTAATTTTGCATAAAACGCAGCGTTTTTCACGATCTTGTGTAGGAATATTAAAGCCGGTTTGTAAGGCGCGGTTGTTGGCGCGAACACGCTCTGTGGATACGATGTACTACGGGACCAAAGATTAGCTTCGTCAATTAATTCGACAGACTGCCCACTCTAATCTGTATGTAATTTAAAAGAAATGTTTAAAGAAAATTCTGTTCTTTTTATTGAATTGAGACACGATTTGGCCTTCATTTGAAGTTGTAATTGAGTGATTCTATCAACATTTTCTTAAAAATGGCTGCGTAGTCGGTTAGTCTTTTTTTAAATACTTTAATTTTTTTTAGCCTGTTACGTCACATCTCGTATTTCGTACAGAGGACAAACAAAATGTAACTTATTATAAATAAATCTGCCAATATTGTAAATTAAAAATACGATGTCTAAAGTACATAATACTATATATTTTTAATTTTAAATGGCGAATATATTCAGAAAAATATATTTAGGTATATAGATATACATTTCGAACTGGAAAATATTGAAGACAACTAAATTAGAAAAAACATTAAGTTGTCCTCCCTGAGTAAGATAAAGAGTCTGTTATATCAACTTATGTCTAAAAGTAAAGACAACAAGCACAATCTAAATCCAAACTATTATTAAGTATATAGTATTTCTTCACGCCTAAACTGCTGAATCCTATTTGTGTGAAATTTGGTACAGACATATGTAGTTTGGAACTCGAGAAAGGACATAGGATTGTTTTTTAACCAAATATTTACTGGAAGTTAATATTCCACGCAAACAAAGTCGCGGGCAAAAGCCAGTAAAGATAAACCCACACTTCTTTAAATGAACTGTCCAAGAAATTAAAAAGTCAATTCCATGACAAGAAGCGTCCCCCGCGATCTTGTTTAGGTACTTTCCTTTATTACCTAAATGCTCAGAATACAGAACCTAAATGCTTGTGACGAATCTGTAAACTTGATGTTTGATCTGATCTTTGGCGCATTTGTCCCAAACGCATGTTGCGAAACACTGTCGCTGACTTGGATGTGATATTTTTGTTTCGTAACAACTTTTCATTTCTTCGAGCTGAATCGACTTCGGATGTTACAACATGCTGTATTCGAACTGGAATTTTCACGGATACAGTTGATCTTTGAAACATTTTTCCCATTTCTCTAAAATTAAAAAAAATATATATTAAAAGTAGGTATCCACCCCAGTGCATTGTGTGTGTTTATAATATTATTATAAAAAACAAGCAATTTTCTTATTCTATTCTTTTTTTAAATTTGCTTTCATAATACTAAGAAACTTCGGCATAAGACTATAAAACTTCGGCTATTATAAAAAATACAACAAAACTATAAATAGCAAAATTGGTAGGTAGGTACAGGCGTTGCGGAGTTGTGCGCTTACCAAAACATTTTGCTATTTATTTTTGTACGTTATACGTATATTAGATAACCTGCTAAGATAACCTATAACCTTCTTTACAAATATAAATGGTGGCAAAGCACTTGTAGTAATTCCTTTGATATGACAAGTTTTCATGGGCGGCGCTATTTGCCGACATATGACATAAAAAATTATTGACGTGTTATTAGTATATGTGAAAAGAGCTGATACAGCGAAAGACTAAGACTAAAAGCTCATGTGGTTCATGATTGAGAGGGGATCGTAGCTTGTAATACGCAGTATCGTCCTGCTCGTCGAATTAACGATCGGAGTACATATTTATTAACTTAGAAATTTTCTATCCAGAGGTGGGCAGAAAAATTCTGATGACTGGTAGTAATTGAGTCTTCTCGTTATTGAATTAAATAACAGTTCGGATCATTCCAACTATTTTTGTATTACCTCTGCGAATCACTCTTTCTTTCTCTTTCTTGGGTAAAGACGGAGACAACGTGATCTACGGATATAAATTCGTGTATTGAGCGCATAATACCTAAGCCCAAAGGATTTTCGAATTAGCTTCATTTTGCATCGTGTCTCTAATTACTACGATTGATTGGCTAAATCTATACCTACTAATATTATAAAGAGGTAAAATTTTTAAGTTTGTAAGTAGGGGGTAATCCTTGAAACCGCTAGACGTATTCCCAAAATTCTTTCACTGATAAATAGCTACAATGTTCCGGAGTGCTATAGACTATAAAACATCACGCTACGATTATATGGAGCCGAGCAGCGAGTGAACCGCGCGAGAGAAGCTAGTGTAGAAATAAGTTGGAATCGGAAATATCAATTCTTTGATACGATTACGAATCTCTTAATACTCAAACGCAAACCAAATTTCTCGTCGAAGCTATTTTAAAACCATTATAATGCCACCATTTCCCTAGACGCTCTTTTATTTCTTTTTTCGAGGATTAAGAATTGTTTTGCTTTCAGAATTTGGAAGTTGGGTCACAACTATTTAAAAAAAAAGAAATGTCGTCTGATCTGCGTCTTTGCTTTTTTTTTGAGACATAGATATTTCTCTTATGATACCTGCGTGATGGATAGAAATGGTGACAAATTTATTGTATTCTATCGTCATATATCGTCACCACAATACTAAGTATTTGATGAATGAATTGCACAGTTTGAATCAATGTCATATCCAATGTTCAATATTGATATATTTTATTTCCTGTAAATAGTTGTGTAGACATACCTGACCTGCCATCAACTGTATAATTTTTTTTTAAACGATTCAATTTTATTGACATTTTCATGTTCAGCTTTTATTTGCAAAGACTTTATTTACTCTTTAACTTGTATTATGATAACGCCATCTACATTAAGTTCTTTGTTAGGTATTTAATGTTGTTGTTCCAAACTAGATGGCGGTGCACTGAGTAAATTAGTTTCCATATGGATGTATAGATGTCGCTTAAAGAAGGCGCGTATGAAAAATAATAATGGCAACCTCATAGTATAATCATAATAGTGTTTAATATTCCTGGTGAAACTTAGGCAACATGTTCCATGTAGAAAGAGTTCAATAAAAAATTCGAACAATTTGCTGTTGAAATATAAAATCAAGTTTTTCATATTTTCGTTCGTAACAGTAAGTATCTACTAATAGGTAGTAATAGGTAGAAAAACTTGTAAGCCCAAAGACAAATAGAACATCGCTTTTATTGAAAACAAATGAAAAGTACAGACATTAACTTTTTAGAGATAAGATTCATCAGGACTAATCATCATTTTGTTGATTGTAATTTTCGAAAGATCCATGTTCAAAATCTGTTATTCTAGGCCAAACGTGGCATCTTTATAAAAGCGCACATTTGCCCATTAAAGGAGTACCTACTACAAAGAGTATAGCGGCAAAGAGGTTAGGGAGTGAACGAGCCACGCCATTTATATTACATCTGTCCCCATCGCACTCTGAACAGTGTAGCAGCTTTACAATTCTTGCGTTAGCGCTCTCAGCTCTTGTGATTTCTGCACATGACCCTCGTTCCGAAGCACAGCCGCGAATGTACCAGGGTCTCTCCATTTCTAGAAGTAAAGAAGCGTATAAGTAACGTTGTATTAGATCATACTAATGCCTATTATAAATCTGTAAATTTACGAAAATGTATTTGGTTTCAAAAATGTGGTTCGTATTTGGTTGCCTTTATTCCATAGAGGATTCAGACTAGTCTTTATAAGACATAAAAGTATCTATACGACAAGAAAAAGTATCTATACAGTTGTGAGTACCTAGTACTTTAGTTGAATTTCATAAGTTCTTGTTTAGGCAATATAGTCAAACACTAGGCACTTAACTCCTCTTTGAGCCTATTTCTTCTTAAAAGGTCGACAGCACTTGTGACTCCTATAGTCTAGCTTTGAGCCAAGCCATGGGGAGGGCTGAACGTTTACCATCGGTTGATCATTCTTCTCGTTTGCCTCCAATAGTATTGCTGCCAAAATTACTACATAGTATACAACAAAGTCGCTTTACCTGTCCTCATATCCCTATGTTTGCTACCATCTTCAAAACTACTGATTGAAAATGAAGGTTTATAGGATATTTAAAATCCGCTAAAAAGTGATGAAATTTGGATCACCTTGCACCCGTGGGAAGCTATCAAAAAGTCAAAAGTCGAAAATCATTTATTCCAATTAGACCTTTACAGGCACTTTTGAACGTCAAACAAAATTTTGAAGATATAGTGTCAGTTTGGCGGTCAGTCTTCTTAGTGAAGCTACTTGCTCGTTCCAAAGTGTAGATTCCGATGGAGAAGAACGAGCAAGAAACTCCATGGTTACTCTTTTTAAATCAGTTTCACATACAGATTCTTTTTACAGTTGGTTCAATTATGTGAGAACAGTGTAACACTAATATTTATTCAAATATAAAAATAAAGGAGGTAACCTTAAGGACAATAGACAGTCTGGAGCTGACCAGTCCCAACTGTTCACGAACACGACACATACACCAGCATCGCCCAACTTAACCATATTATAGGGAATTAAGCGATCCAGCGCCCATGCCACCACATGTGTGACCTTTCAGTGAGCATGACAACTCCAAGCTGTTATAAGGACCGACATTCTGCTAGTCTAACACATTGTAATAGGTCGCTATCGGTCGCTAGTATCCTATTAATGCCAATTTTCATACAAAAAACCCAAAGAGTTTTACAGCAACTAACTAATATGGCCAAGTTATGATTCACAAGGAAGTTTTGAACGAAAACTATGCATTTGTGATTGTACGTACCTAATCTTTTAACAAGCGAAAGTGATCTTTGGCAAATAGTAAATAATCTTATCAGAATCATCATAAACTGGGTATGAATAAAATTGCAACGTAATTGGGACTGCCCCAGCACATGAGAACTAAGTACTTATAAAATGCAATGATTACTCACTCGTACAATGGTTTCAACAAGGCTTAGGTATTGTTTGCGATAAAAATGATTAGAGGAGTTTGATTAGAAGTAAAATAATGCTTCTATTAAGTGGGCACCCAAGTTTTTAGTCGATTTCAAATTATAAAGACAGTATTCAGCGAAAAAACGTGAGTCAATTGTGACTTTTCGCATTACAGGTATGCAATGACTCAATGTATTAAAATTTTCTGTTGATGACAGAAAATAATTGGCACAATAAAATTTATGGAAAACTTTGTAATGGTTTGAAAAATTCAACGCGTCTTTAGTGACTGAATACTGGTTGGTGCGGTGGCTGGGTAACTGGCTGCCGTACAACGTGGCGCGGGCTCGATTCCCGTACGGAACAACTCTTTATGTGATCCACAAATTGTTGTTCCGGGTCTGGGTGTGATTCTACGATACAGGAGAAAATATTCGTCGTCGTCGTCGTATGTTAATAGAAGATAAACTGACATATAATATAGGTCGCTAACGTCTTAACGTCAAATCGTCGATCTTGCATTATCGCAATAGCTGGCTCTAGAATTACGTTCTAGAAGAAAGATGGCTAATCAGTAATCACATTTAACTGTTCATTCAATTATTTCCTTTCAAATGGGTAATATTCTACCCTTTTTTGATATATGTATCGGTAATTGCACAGAGTGTTAACATCGAGGAGTTACAAATGGAGGTTATAATGTTAGAGATTTGAAGATTGGGCGTTCAGTAACCCCACTCAATCGGTGAAATGGTATCACTCCGGTGAAGCATGCTTATTTTGTAAGTTTGTATGTAGGGGCTAATCTTTGGAACCGTTGGTCTGATTGCCAAAATTCTTTCACTGATAGATAGCTACAATGTTCCTGAATGCTATAGGCTATTTAACATCACGCTGCGACCAAACGGAGCCGAGCAGCGGGTGAAACCGCAAGAGAGTAGCTAGTTAGGTGTAACTTGAGTAGTTGTAAAAAGTGTACTTACGTTTATACTTCTCAGCGTAAAGGACGCATTTGTTGTTTTTAGTGGGATCGTTGGTGTAAGGGCAGTATTTAGTGGTAGTATTTGCTAGTACTGTAGGACAGTCGACACAGGCGTAACATTCCACCAGACGTATCTGTGTTGGGTACAGGCCAGGTCTAGCAAGCCTATTGCTAACGGAATTGTAAGCTTGAGGCGAAGCCGACCGTTCCTCTGTATCCGATTCTAAATTATCTGGCTCTTTCTGAATTAAATCGGCGTCATCTGAAACATAAGCGTAATTTAAGGATTTAATTCATAGTTCTTATTTAAATCAATAAAATGAATAAATCATATTTGATTTCGAGTTTTTTTAGCATTCCAATAAAATATTTAAATTGTACCTTCACTGATTGATTTTATGATTTAATACATTTCTTATTATTTCTAGATATTTTTTAGGAAATAAATTAGCTATTTTTAACACGAAAATGTTACGTTATAACATTCTTAAACAATTTTCAAAATAGTTAAATATGATAATTTTAAAATTAAATGATATTAATTGTCGTATTTATCCTTTGCAAAGCATGATTTGTACTCAGAGCAACACAATTTATTATTTTGGTTTTTTAAGAGATTCCAACGAATTGTCTTATAAAACGACATTTCTAGTTAATAAAAGAGTAAAATGGAAAAATTAAGATTTACATTCGCGGTATTAGCCGCAAGTGATGGAAAAACGAATGTAATTTGCATAACCTCAATAGAGACACCTGATGGATGTGTATATGACGTACCTGATGAACAAAAAAATGCAAACAAGCATACAAGTATTACTAGTTTAGAGGTCTATGCAAAAATCAAGAACTCGCTAAAAAAGAGACATCAGACACGAAAAATATGGATCCCGTTGACAGATCAAATACGGAAAATTTACTTGGACGCAGGCGAAAATGTGCAGTTTAATGATCTGTATCTGGAGGAAATTACGGAGGATATCAAACCTTCCAATAACAATTATAAATCTGAATCAGAGCATAAGAACTTCGTAAAAATTGCTGACAAGTTTTTATTAGATAAATTTTCGGGAAGAACGTCAAATGTGAATCAATGGATCGAAGAATTTGAAACTGAATGTGAAAGATTCGAGATACTACAGGATGAAAGTAAAATTGAGATTTTGAAACATCTTCTTTAGAAACAATGTTTAGGCTGGTACACGGGTATGTTAATTAAGTTTACCGCTAAGTCAGAATGGAGTATGTGGAAAAATATTTTTTGTGAAACATACGGTAATAAAGGATGGTCTCAGATAAAATATGCATATTCATTCAAATATCAAACAGGTTCCTTGTTGGAATATGCCACAAAAGAACGCTTATTATTAGAGGTAAACAAAGATATTGACACTGAGACAATGATAAATCTTATTGTGATGGGTTTACCGGATTATGTCATGAACAAAATTGATAGAACATTAGTAACATCAACTGCAAGACTTTGCAATGAAATTGGCAAACAAGAGTATACAGTTACCAAAAAGAATTTTACCAAATTTACGAAGAATGTGCCTGATAATACATCTAAATTTCAGAAAGAGATTGCATGTAAAATATGTGAAAAATTAAACAAAGGAATCCGTTACCACCCAGAGGAAAAAATTAAATGTTGGTTAAAACAAACTAATGAATATGAAAACTGAAAAAAATATTTCAAAAATGTAAACAACACTGTGTTGGATATTGAATTAAATGATAATGAACAAAAAAACGAATAATTACACCATTAATTAAAGTCAAACTAACATTAAATGAGAAGGTTGAAATATTTGGTATATATGATTCAGGCTCTAATGTTTCGCTGATAAACTCCAAATTGTTGAATATAAAGAAAAAAAAAATAGTGGTTTCAAAAATGCAAATTTAATAACAATTAATGGTGTAAAAAGGACACAAGGTTTGACGACAATAAAGATAAAAATTTATAATATAGAAAAAAATGTTGATGTTTACATAGTGGATGGAAGGGAGTTTCAATATGATTTTCTAATTGGACTTGACATCATAAGAGAATTTTATTTGGTTCAAGACCAACACTTAAATATTACTCAGAAACGAGAAGACACATCCACAGGTAAAGAACTGATTTGCAGAAATAATTTCAAAGAAGAGGAAAATCAAAATGAGATTTCCATAAATTTCAATGAACATATAACGGAAGAAGATTTTAAAATAAATATGAATAATTTAAATACTCAACAAAAAACAAAAATAAATAAATTGATTGATGAGTACAAATCATGCTTTGCAAAGGATAAATACGACATTGGAAAGTTACAAAACTACGAAGCTCGGATTGATTTGATAGTTGATAGATACTGTAGCAAGAGGCCTTACAGATGTTCTATAGAGGAAAAACAAGAAATAGAGAAACAAGTGGGAAAATTACTCGAAAGAAACCTAATAGAAGAATCATACAGTCCTTTTTCAGCACCTGTTACCCTAGCTTTCAAAAAAGAAGATCAGAAAAAGACAAGGTTGTGTATTGATTTTAGAGAACTAAACAAGATAGTATTGCCGCAAGCACAGCCATTTCCATTAATCGAAGATCTGTTGATGAAGACGCGTAACTGCAAATATTTTTCAACATTAGATATAAACTCAGCGTTTTGGTCTATTCCATTACGGATCGAAGACAGAAAAAAAACAGGATTCGTTACTCAGGAAGGACATTTCCAATGGACCTGTTTACCATTCGGCTTGAAGACATCTCCAGCAATTTTTCAGAGAATATTAAGTAATGTACTAAGAAAACATAAATTGTCTGATTTCACAGTAAATTACATAGATGACATACTAGTATTTTCTAAAACTTATGACGAACACATTAACCACTTGAAACAATTACTGGAAGCAATAAAAAATGAAGGATTCAGACTAAAGTTTACAAAATGTACATTTGCTGCAAGTTCTGTAAAATACCTTGGTCATATAATTGAAAATAATACCACTGAGAGACAATTTAATTTCTATAAAGGAGTTTCCGATACCAACATCGCAAAAAAACATCAGACAATTTTTAGGAAAAATAAATTTCTATCATGAGTATATACCAAAATGTACAATAATTTTAAAACCACTACATAATTTACTGAAAAAGAACCAAAAGTTTGTTTGGTCAACAGATTGTCAAAATTCATTTGAAAAAATAAAAGAACTACTATGTTCACAACCAATTTTAGAAATATATGACCCGAACTTACCAATAAACATATATACAGACGCATCACTAGAAGGCATTGGAGCAATATTAAAGCAAGTACAGCCAAATGGAAAAGAAAAGCCGGTAGCATATTTCTCAAAAAAATTAAACGAGGCACAGAAGAAGAAGAAAGCTATTTATTTAGAATGCTTGGCCATTAAGGAAGCTGTTAAGTACTGGCAGTATTGGCTCATAGGAAAACCTTTCACTGTGTACTCAGACCATAAACCATTGGAACATATGAATATTAAATCTAGAGTAGATGAAGAATTAGGAGAATTAACGTATTATCTCTCCCAATATGACTTCAAGATAAAATATGCTCCTGGGAAAGACAATTTAGAAGCGGACTGTTTAAGCAGGAATCCCGTACTAGAAGCAGTAGACGATAAAGATGAGCAATTAAAAATAGTTAACTTACTACAATTACAGGATGTTGTTACGGATCAAGAAAAAAATGAAAGAATACGAATTAATAAGAATAAATTAATACACAGACACAACATTTATTATAGAATAATTAATAAACGAGAGAAAATTATACTATCGGAAGAATTCAGTGTCAGACTTATAGAACAAATACATAACGAAATGTGTCATATAGGTGTAAAGCAGATGCAAAAGATGATTGGAGGAATATATACAGCAAAAAACTTAACAAATAATATAAATGATTTTTGTAAGAAATGTGAAGTATGTATAAAGAATAAAACAAGAGGACAGGTGAAATATGGTCTAATGTCACACTTAGGTCCTGCTTCAAAACCTTTTGAAATTGTCTCAATAGACACAATTGGAGGCTTCGGCGGCAGACGGTCAACGAAAAGATATCTGCATATGCTAGTGGATCATTTCACTCGATATGCATATATACTTACCTCGAAAACTCAAAGTGCAAAAGACTTTATAAAACTTATCAATAACACAAACAGTCATAATGAAATTGGCATGATTCTAAGCGATCAATATCCGGGAATAAACTCAAGAGAATTTAAATCATTTTTGAATAAGTATTCCATTCCATTTATATTCACCGCAGTTAACTCACCATTCTCAAATGGATTAAATGAGAGGCTGAATCAGACACTAGTGAATAAGATCCGATGTAAAATAAATGAAGGTAATAATAAAATAGCATGGACAACGATAGCCCACACCTGTGTAGATAGGTATAACGATACTGTGCATACAGTTACTGGTTTCACTCCAAGATACCTTCTAGAGGGCACAAACGTATCATTATTGCCGGAAGAGCTAAAACAATCGCAAACAGCGGAAGACTGGGTGATAGCTAAAAAAATAGCATTTGATAATTCTGTTAGATCACATAATTATAATAAAAAAATAATAGATAAAAATAGAATTCAGCATAATTTCAACACAGGAGATATGGTATATGTTGAGAATGGTCATAAGTTAAATAGAAGCAAATTAGATGAGCTGAGGATTGGTCCTTATAGAATAGAAGAGAAGATATCGAATACTATATACAAAATAAATACGGGTCATAAGAAATTAGAATCCAACTTGTTTCATATCACGAAGCTCATTCCAGTTCCTGTATGAGTGAAGCTGTATCGTAAATTATAATATTATAATTCTACTAGGAATCGACAAACCAATTAATAAACTTTAAATGTCGTTTTATAAGACAATTCGTTGGAATCTCTTAAAAAACCAAAATAATAAATTGTGTTGCTCTGAAATATCAAAGATTTTTTTATTTAATATTTAAATTTTTACAACAAATACATAATAATACTTAAACAAAATCCTACCTGAAATATCAAAGACACGACATTTAAAGTTTATTAATTGGTTTGTCGATTCCTCTTTTACTGAATTACATATTATAATATTTAAACCTCCTCTGCTTTATTCAGAGTAATGACACTGACAATTATAATGTCAGTGGCGCCATCTATACATAACTAAATGTAAACTTGAACTGTTTTATCTACACACCATGGACTACACATAAATACTTTAAAGAAATTTAATTTCTTTATATAAGTATTAAATAAGGCCAGTGGTTAAGTACCTTATAAACATTATCGTTCCTTGTTCGCCAATCTTTTAAAAGCAAAGCAAAGTCTATTGTCTCCTACTTAGTTGAAATCAATGTAACATTTACATTTACTTTACTCAAAACAAGGAAAATCCGAGTGATATTATAAAACGTTTCGAAAGTTTGTGAGTATGGATTCAAAAATTCAGTAAAAATTTTGTCACCGAGATGATATTGATGGATAGTCTGGAATGTAACATAGGCTGATTTTTATCCTCTTACTGCAGACCAATCCTATTACTAGGAGCTAGTCTATACTAATATTATAAAGAGGTAAAATTTGTCAGTTTGTACGTTTGTAAGTTTGTATGTAGGGGATAATCTTTAGAACCGCTGGTCGGATTGCAAAAATTCTTTCACTGATAGATAGCTACAATGTTCCTAAGTGCTATAGACTATAAAACATCAGGCTACGATAAAATGGAGCCGTGCAGCGGGTGAAACCGTGTGAGAGTAGCTAGTCAAAAATAAAATATTACCTAGGGGCTCCGCGAGGCATTTCACTCCGATTGTTACAAAACATATTGCCGAAAACAACACAAACAGTTTGGACATTTTCCTTATGGATCGGATGAAGTAAGATGTTTTAAAACATATGAATCCTTTTATACATTGCAGATTTTTATCATTACAATGGTTAGATTCTACATGCTCTAATGAGCTTGATGGTACGCAGCAAATGAAGCAAACTAATCCGCTTCAGATAAGATTTACTAGCAGAAATCTTTATTACCTACATGCGCAAATGTGGGAGAGCCATGCTTTAGCACGAATGGACCTGTTCGACCCGAGTTTCCGGATAATCCGCGGATATCGCACGATCACCGGGGAGGCGGCGAACCACCTTACTGAATCACCCCCGTGGGATCTGGAAGTGAAGGAGCTCGCGCGTGTCTACAGTTTGCGCGTCGCCGGGGCGAGGATCCTCTGACGTGCCAAATTAGTGCGTGGCCGAATGAGCTCCAGCGAGATCTCATGGCTGAGTTGAAGCAGCGACTGTTACAACCGAGGGACGGGCACGCTATTATAGCTGCGGTAAGACCCCTCTTTGAGAAGTGGCTTGAGAGACGTCCTCACCTTCCGCTTGACGCAGGTGCTTACCGGGCACGGCAGCTTCGGTACGTTCCTATTTCGGATCCAGCGGGAGGAAACGCTCGAGTGTCGTCATTGTGGGGACCACCCAGAGGAAACGGTGGAGCATACGGTGGCGTGGTGGGGCAGTTATGCTCGCAAAGAGGGAGGCGGCCCGCGTGAGGTAGCATTCCTCCACGTCACGCCCCAGCCGCCGCAGTATGCGACACTATGGGCGTCGGGGATCAAGAGACGGTCTCCGGCCACCGTAAGCGCGGGTCTGTGGATGGCGAGTAAGGGCAACTCGCCGCCCGACCAGAACCAGACCCGAGCGTACAGCGCGTAGCGTTCCACCATCGTCGTTCCAGCGACCACCACAGACGGGGCCCTATAGGACTGAGGTTTAGCCGGGGTTGCGGGGTAAGCGCAATGAGGCACCGTGACCTCGGCCCAGAGCACGAGAAGGAACAGGGGGGTTTTAAGTCAATAAGAGTCTGACACTCCCACCCGCCCGGTCCTGGGCGGGAGAAGTCATTTGATGATTTTCCTCTCACAAAAAGGGTGTTTGCCATACTCCAATTCTAAGTAACAAGTAATAAGCCTATGACCATAGCTCAAAACTCCTAACGTCAATTCAATATCATATATATAACTTTGTGTGATCCACACATTGTTGTTCCGGGTCTGGGTGTGATGTGCACGTGAATTTGTATGTTTGTAAACGCACCCACGACACAGGAGAAAATCCTAGTGTGGGGCAATGTTTTTTTTTAAAAAAAAATATCAACAAACCCTGTAATAATACTGACCTTGTTCAATTGTTATACTTGACATCACTCAACCAACAATAGGGTATTTTATATACATATAATTTACCTTTAATACAATATCGACATAATATTATAGTCGTCCTGGTGGCCGGTAGCCTTATTGCACGCATTCATATGCATGTGGCATGAGAAGCGGGCATGCATGATACGGGTTCAAAATCTGGCAAGTACATACCAATGTGACTTAATCCGGGTTATATGTACTGTCTACAATCATTTAGACACCAATGACGTGCTGGTGAAGAAAAACCTCGTGAGGAAACCTGGATTTATATTTCAAATTATAAGTTTCAAATCGTCAATCTGCCTTGAGAACGTGATATGTGGCGATGATATTATGTATTCCAAAAAAATTAAAGTACCAATTTATTCCATAATAAGTTTATTAAAAAAACATGAATTCACAATAAGTTGAATTATCAATACGAGATTACAAGTTAGCAAACTTCTCTACTATAAGTACAATTGTATTGTTAGGAGCGTGACCTCCTTGAAGATATAGCTACTGTACACTTCAAGCTATAACAAAACCAGTATAAGTTGCCCGTTGAATTCCCAATAGAATAATACAAAACAAGACCATGATTTTTTTTAAACAACTTGTATTGTAGCCAACAAGTAAGTACCTAATTTATTTAAAAGTAAGTTTCTATATGTATGATCAACTATAACAGATAACACAAAAAGATTATGTACTTATGTATGTTATACATTTAAATAGTAATTATTCAAAATAAGTTTCTTCATTGAAATTATATAATATGAACAAATCCACCTATGAGGAACGTGTCTTTTGCTTTAGCTTCATTGATAGCAATTGATTTTACATTTCATTTGAAAAAACTATTTTATAGGTTATTGGTTATAATCTGCAGAGCCGAACACCGACCTTGGACACTCGAAGCACGTGAGAGACAAATCCGTTGTCAGCCTTTGGTTTCAGGCTATCATATAAATGCATATTTGTATTTTATTTAGTGAATCAATGTGACAATAAATAAAGAAAAAGGAAAAATATTCATTTTTTATACTACAGTTGCAAAAAAGGTTATAGAAAGCCCAATGGTAAAGGGTCACCATAGCTAATGTTGAATGTTATCAAAGATCATAAAAAGCGAGTTCATCATAAACTGGAGATTTTATGATGTTTGATGCCTCCGGAGGGGATAAAATGGCTATTAAATAATAAGACAATGTTATTTATTAACTTGTAAGATAGACATATAATGTTGATAGGAAACAAACAGATATCAAAGTAAAGCCGATCACAGGTTTACCAGAGGCGTTGCAAAGGTCTGATTTGCAAACACTACATTTAGTAATATTTGTTGAAGATCCAGCTACATCGCGACATTCTTCTAACGAGGTTTCTGATTTCTCATCTTCTGATGGGTAGTGGCAACCACGAGAAATAATTTCTACACCATTTTCTGGAAATAAAACAAAACATGCATTAGAAAGCGTACCTTTTTTTAGCAACGAAGACATCTTGCGTGATTCCATAGTCGATGCTTTTATCAAAAAGTTTTATGGACCCTGGATAGTGGATATAAACTTCTACAATAGTGTGTGAACAATATTCCAAATCAATTTATCGTGAAACGTAAATAAAAATTACGTTATACTCGTAGTATTTTAAATTGATCTAAAAGATACAAAATTTGTTTTCTTTATCTCTAGTCTACTTTCCTAATAAATGTTCTGCAATTGCTTTCTGAGTCTCTTTGTGGGTTTGTAAGGTTTACATTTTCAATTTTTTTATGATTTCTATACGTACCCATGTAAGTTGCAACTATGCACTGAACTTCTGTTTCGGAATCATACATGTCTCTAGCCTGCATTATAGAGAGCAATGATCGTCGTCCTCGTGAGATGAACTGGAAAAATTTATAACACATTTTTTTCTAAAACTTCTAAATTTATCCGACAAATTCAGAGTTTAAGTATTAGTTTGATTTCAAAATACTACCTCGGGCTCATCAGCAGTAAGTGTGTTGCTGCTTGCAGTTGGTGTAGCCGTAGGTGTGTCAGTGCTTGCAGTTGGTGTAGCCGTTGGAGTGCCGCTGCTGGCAGTTGGTGTTGCCGTTGGAGTGCCGCTGCTTGCAGTTGGTGTTGCTGTTGGAGTATTACTGCTTGCAGTTGGTGTTGCCGTTGGAGTGTCACTGCTGGCAGTTGGTGTTGCCATTGGAGTGTTGCTGCTTGCAGTTGGTGTTGCTGTTGGAGTATTACTGCTTGCAGTTGGTGTTGCCGGAGGAGTATTACTGCTTGCAGTTGGTGTTGCCGTTGGAGTGCCGCTGCTGGCAGTTGGTGTTGCCGTTGGAGTATTACTGCTTGCAGTTGGTGTTGCTGTTGGAGTATTACTGCTTGCAGTTGGTGTTGCCGTTGGAGTGTCGCTGCTGGCAGTTGGTGTTGCCGTTGGAGTGTTGCTGCTTGCAGTTGGTGTTGCTGTTGGAGTATAACTGCTTGCAGTTGGTGTTGCCGTTGGAGTGTCGCTGCTGGCAGTTGGTGTTGCTGTAGGTGTGGCGCTGCTTGCAGTTGGTGTTGCCGTTGGAGTGCCGCTGCTGGCAGTTGGTGTTGCCGTTGGAGTGTTGCTGCTTGCAGTTGGTGTTGCTGTTGGAGTATTACTGCTTGCAGTTGGTGTTGCCGTTGGAGTGCCGCTGCTGGCAGTTGGTGTTGCCGTTGGAGTATTACTGCTTGCAGTTGGTGTTGCTGTTGGAGTATTACTGCTTGCAGTTGGTGTTGCCGTTGGAGTGTCGCTGCTGGCAGTTGGTGTTGCCGTTGGAGTGTTGCTGCTTGCAGTTGGTGTTGCTGTTGGAGTATTACTGCTTGCAGTTGGTGTTGCCGTTGGAGTGTCGCTGCTGGCAGTTGGTGTTACTGTTGGAGTATTACTGCTTGCAGTTGGTGTTGCCGTAGGAGTATTACTGCTTGCAGTTGGTGTTGCTGTTGGAGTATTACTGCTTGCAGTTGGTGTTGCCGTTGGAGTGCCGCTGCTGGCAGTTGGTGTTGCCGTTGGAGTATTACTGCTTGCAGTTGGTGTTGCTGTTGGAGTATTACTGCTTGCAGTTGGTGTTGCCGTTGGAGTGTCGCTGCTGGCAGTTGGTGTTGCCGTTGGAGTGTTGCTGCTTGCAGTTGGTGTTGCTGTTGGAGTATTACTGCTTGCAGTTGGTGTTGCTGTTGGAGTATTACTGCTTGCAGTTGGTGTTGCCGTTGGAGTATTACTGCTTGCAGTTGGTGTTGCCGTTGGAGTGTCGCTGCTGGCAGTTGGTGTTGCTGTAGGTGTGGCGCTGCTTGCAGTTGGTGTTGCCGTTGGAGTGCCGCTGCTGGCAGTTGGTGTTGTCGTTGGAGTGTTGCTGCTTGCAGTTGGTGTTGCTGTTGGAGTATTACTGCTTGCAGTTGGTGTGGCCGTTGGAGTGTCGGAGCTGGCAGTTGGTGTTGCCGTTGGAGTGTCGCTGCTGGCAGTTGCTGTTGCCGTTGGAGTTTCGCTGCTTGCAGTTGGTGTTGCCGTTGGAGTATCGCTGCTGGCAGTTGGTGTTGCCGTTGGAGTGTCGCTGCTGGCAGTTGCTGTTGCCGTTGGAGTGTCGCTGCTGGCAGTTGGTGTTGCCGTTGGAGTGTCGCTGCTGGCAGTTGCTGTTGCCGTTGGAGTGTCGCTGCTGGCAGTTGCTGTTGCCGTTGGAGTTTCGCTGCTTGCAGTTGGTGTTGCCGTTGGAGTATCGCTGCTGGCAGTTGGTGTTGCCGTTGGAGTGTCGCTGCTGGCAGTTGCTGTTGCCGTTGGAGTGTCGCTGCTGGCAGTTGGTGTTGCCGTTGGAGTATCGCTGCTGGCAGTTGGTGTTGCCGTTGGAGTGTCGCTGCTGGCAGTTGCTGTTGCCGTTGGAGTGTCGCTGCTGGCAGTTGGTGTTGCCGTTGGTGTTACCGTTGGAGTGTCAGTACTTGCAATTGGTGTAGCCGTAGGTGTGGCGCTGCTTGCAGATGGTGTGGGACTTGACCCACTTGGTTTTTTGCTAGGACATGTTTCTTGTTGGTTTGATTTTACTTCACGGCAGTTACGGCACACGTAACATTTTCGAGCTTCAGCTGAAAATCATGGAAATGTATAATCAAAATCAGTCAAAATTCATTAAAGTAGCGCTTTTGGCTTTACGAAATCTGAATTTACTTTTCGCTAGCAATTAGGGCCTCCGTTACATAGGGCACTTACAAATAAATATATAGACTTTTTGAATCTATGTATTTAACATAACATCCATTGTTTCTATTAGTTTTTTCATAATAAACTAGTTTCGATTATATTTTATTTGATTAGCTACAGAGTTATTCAGATCAGTAAATGTATGCAATAAGTGGGACATGTGTTTGTGGTGAAACAGCGTAAATAATATTATCTTTAAACGAGTTTTATTCTTTATTGTTATTGATTCTAAATCTCGTAACACTTGTAGATAATGGATTATTATGACATCGACTGTTAACAGTAGTAGGTCTAAGATACAGAAATATGATGATAACATGTACATAATATAAATTACAACTGTGAATATTTAATATAATTTGGATATACACAGTATGGGGAGAGAAAAACAGAGAGAGACAGAGAGAGAGAGAGAGAGACAGAGGGGGGGGGAAGATTCTGTATTATTTGTCTATAAAGTTTCCCATTCAATACGGCATAGCTGTTGCTTACCTATCTACAAATATTTTTTTATTTACATAAATATGTATATGTAAATGTTTACAGAAATAAATATTTACATCTTTATTTTTTACAAAAACTGAATCCAAGTGATTTAAGATGCCCCTGTCTTCCGTCCTCCACTATCAGACGACAATCAATTACCGACATTCTTCTCTTCCATAACACTCACCATCTTTTTGTACATCATCTTCTGAATTTCAATCCATTTTAAATTTACACCCAGCATTCTATTTGTCACTTTAACTTAACTCCATAGAGTACGAATTAGCACAAAACTGTTACCTACCTCCGATCACGGCGCACAAAATCACCAATGTAACTATAGAAAATATCTTGGCCATTGTTCTTAAGTTTCTTGCAACTTGCAATAAGGACTATCCATATAGTGTCATCACTTTTATATCTAGTAAATATCACTCATATATACAGAGTGGTCTGATAAAGAACTAGGCTTAAACATTTAGGGATATCCCCTGTTTAACATGATAAAAAACTTTGTTGTCACAATAGATTTTAGACTTTCCACAGCCTCGGTGGGGCCAGGGGTAGTGTCAGACTATTACTGACTAAAAACCACGCTGTCCAGAACCGGAGCTGGACGGGCGATACATTTTTGAGCTTACACTCTTGGTGGTGTATCGCGGCATAGCAAAATAGTTGCAAATACGACAAGGTTAAGTACTTGTGGCAAATAGTTTATTGTAGAAACCTGTGTTTGATATCTGTATTTTTGGAAACAGATTTGCTTTCTATTTCAGTTTTCCTACTGTGGAAACGGAATATCAAACTTTGTATAAAATTACTACTATCAGCCATTTACAATCTTTTTTTATGTAATAGGTCAGCAAATGAGATGATGGATTACCTGATGGTAAGCAATCGGCGCTGCCCATGGACACCAGCAACGGAGGAGTTACGAGTGCGTGGCCGACCCTTTAGGGATTAGGGTTTTGGGGATTTAGGGATTGGGAGGGATCGGGGGAGGGGAAGGATTGGGCCTCCGGTAACCTCACTCACACGGCGAAACACAACGCTGTGGTTGTTTCACGCCGGTTTTCTAGGCGGTGGTATCACTCCGGTCGAGCCGACCCATTCGTGCCGAAGCTTGGCTCTCCCACACTTGAAATCTGAAATCATTTGATGGTTTTCCCCTTCAAAAAAGGCTATTTACCTACACTCTTGTAAAGCCTGAAGGTAAGTGACCAGCGCCGCCCATGGACATTCACGACACCAGAGGAGTCAAAGGCACGTTGCCCACCGTTTAAGAAGGAGAACACGCGTTTTATGAAGATTTGAAAGTCGTATCTGTTCTAAGCTAAAAGGCTTCACTCTTTAACATTCTTTGGTTTCACTGGGTTGAAGTTCCTAGCTTAGTAATAACCGTAAAACAAGGCTAGTCCGCTATAATACTAAAGTAAGCAAACATTTTTTTCTTTCATGATTTACAAGTTAGAAGACCATCACGTTTTAATTGACGCTAAATTCTTTTTACACACCTTGTACATAATTGCAGATATCAGTGATAATGCTCGGTACTTGAAAGAACTTAATCTACGTGACTCATTATAGAAATGTATCGTTTAAGTAAACTAACAGTAAAAATAATTCTTATCAACCTTTCCCGTTGCATATATTTATTATTATTGTTTTATTTATTTATTTATTTCATGCACAAAACACATTACAATCAAATATTATTAGCTTAAAAACTAAAGGTTTTGATCTAGATAGTAACGTAACAATATGTGCATACTGCAGAATTACAAGTTTCAAATATTAAAAAAGCTCAAAAAGGGACAAAAAGAAACAAGAAGTAGAAACTAGAAAACAAAGTGACGTGTGTCAACACTGGTGCCTCTTCACAAAAATATGGGTTGATTAATATCCTTCAGGCATAGTTTCCCGGGCCTGAAGAATCCACACCAGATCGACAATGGAGAATGCCTTTTATATCTGAGATGAATTTATTAATGCTGTAATTAAATATGTCAAAAAGTTTGTGATTGCTCTTTGCCATTTCATTATATTTTCATTCATATATGAACATAATTATACTCTTATTATACTTATTGTATAGGATTTCGCGAAACTTTCTGCCTCGCATAGCAAAACTTTGGTTGGCGAAACATTTGGAATGATCTTTCCGAATTCCGAACCTATACTACAATACCGCCGACGTATCTTGGCGAGTCAGGAGTTAGCCGATCAGCTGCGCAGTACACAATTTTGTTCCTAGGAGATCCATTGCGCAGACAAATGACTAATTTCAGACTCGCCAAGATACGGCGGCCGTACTGTACCTTCAAATCTTTAAGAAAAGTGCGTACCTACGTACTACTTTTTATTTTTAAAATGCCGGCAACGCGCTGTGCCTCCTTTGGTATTGCAGGTGTCCGTTGGCGGTGCTGATCGTTAACCATCCAAGTGATCCGTAGGCTTGTTTGCCTTCTATTCCATAAATAAAAATAGGACTAGGTTACGGAGCAAGCGCCATAAGGTACGACGTCCTTGGCATGGAACAGGAAAAGGAATGGAGACGGTTTTAACCGACTTAAAAACAAGTCAGTGCCAGGTGCTAAGTAAAACAATGATGATTAGTAAGTACCGATCAGTACATTTTTTTTATGTAATAAGTCGGCAATCGATCAGACGGATTACCTGATGGTAAGCAATCAGCGCCGCCCATGGACACCCGCAACGGAGGAGTTACGAGTGCGTTGCCGACCTTTTAGAGATTAGGGATTTGGAGATTTAGGGATTGGGGAAGGGTCCGGGAAGGGGAAGGATTGGGCCTCCGGTAACCTCACTCACACGGCGAAACAACGCTGTGGTTGTTTCTAATACTGTTGTTGTTTTGTATATTTTTATATGTGCCATTTACTTGGCACCGACTTCAAGATTATGAAAATAGTTATTAATATTATTTTCTATTTAGCAAAATGAAAACATGTACCTATTACTTTGTACAAACAACATTTTTTTTAGTTTTTTAATTAACTTTTTGTGTCAGTAAGAGTTTAACACACCTTCTCGCTATGCCACGGCCGAGAGACGTGGCGAATTTAGAAGAAAGAAAAAAAAAGAAACAATATAAAGGGTAATGCGAAGTCCCTTACACATTCATCTTTTATAGTTAATGATTTGTATACTAAAAGAGTACTTATTACTTAAAATACTTATGGAGAGTGCGAGAGAGACATGCGTTGAGTCGGCACCGGCTCTGGTACCGATGGCCCAAATCACCCCCATACCCATTTCTTTATAAGGCATCTTTCAAAAGGCAATACACGTGGAACTCCTTTGGTGTTGCTATTAGGTAGTCTTTTGCTAAATCAAATTATAAGCCACAATAAATGGAAAGCGGTTTTCATGTGGTGGTGGGAGGTTAAGGAGCCCGCTTCTCATGCATGTGGGTTCGAAACCTGGCAAGTACCAATGTGATTTTTTCCGAGTTATATGTACTAACTTTCTATGATTATTTAGACACCACTGACATACGGTGAAGGTAAACATTGTGAGGAAACCTGGACTTATAATTTCTAATTATAAGTTTGAAATCGCCCGCCTTGAGCAAGCGTGGAGATTAATGGTCTAACCATCTTCGTGTGAGAAGAGGCCTTTGCTCAGCAGTGGGCACTTATAGGCTGATGATGGACGATGATGGTGGTTTTTATGTAGTTAAAAAATCACAAAAATGCACTGTTTATCTAAGAATCTAGCCATCTTTTTTGTTTAAGAGGATTTTTCTGAACACGCGTCTCTGTTGTAATTCTTCCGTTTGGACTAAATCCAACTAGGTTGAGGTCAGTAACGCGTTATCCAAATTTTGTTGCATGTAAATATTTTACAGATTGTTACTGAATGACATTTATTGCAAGGTCATAAAGATGAAAATGCCATAAATATATGGGATAAAGTGCTTTAATCTTTTCCAAAAAGTTTATACCGGAAAGTGTTGTGGTGTGTCGCAAGAATGGAGCTATAAGCAAATGTTTATTTAATTTTAAAGTTATATTAAAATAACCAAACGCCTCTGTCCTCTAAAATAAAAAGTATCTATCTCATTTCCTTATTTTCAGAACTTGAACTGATCGCCTCGTTGATCGAACAGCTACAAACTCAATGATTTAAGTTTTCTCCTTGTCTCATGGGTGAAAAAACAGAAAACCGGCGCGAAACAACTACAGCGTTGTGTTTCGCCGTGTGAGTGAGGTTACCGGAGGCCCAATCCATCCCCTTCCCTAATCCCTAATACCCAATAGGCCGGCAACGCACTCATAACTCCTCTTTTGCGGGTGTCCATGGGTGGCGCTGATTGCTTACCATCAGGTAATCCATCAGCTCGTTTGCGGACCTATTACATAAAAAAAACATGACAATCAATATTGATATTTAAAGAAAACCTAGGCATTGTTGAAGGAGGGGGGGGACAGGAAGGGTCAATCTCTTACTGACCAAAAAACCATCAAGTGGCTTCTCCCACTTGCAGCCGGAGGCCGCGGTACATCAATGCGCTTGCACCCTTAACCTGGGGCCGATGACGACTGGACATCGGCTGCAGTAGTCCAGTTGATCCCCTTCTAGTATGGCCCGATAGCCGCGCCTTATCGCCTTACCAGACCCTAGCAGCTAGGGTCTGGTAGATCTAGTACAACCATTTGTTGATCCCACAAACACAAATTGACGAGTAAGTGTTGCTTTATGGTGTACTAGCAACTCTCGCACGCTACAGATTGTAGCTTGATGTTTTATAGCCTATAGCACTCAGGAACATTGCAGCTATCTATCAGTAAAAAAATTTGGCCAATCCGTCCAGCAGTTCCAAAGATTACCCCCTACATACAAACATACAAACTAACAAATTTTACCTCTTTTCAATATTAGTATAGATTTACAAAAATGAGTCCATACAGTCAGCTGATGAGATGTTGGGTTTTAGTCAGTAAGAGTGAGAAATCCTGAAGAGTCTGAAATTTCGCCCATGGCTTCTCTAACAAAGAAGTTTTGGCGGTATTACCGACTATAAAATTTCTTTATTGTTCACCGGCGGGCGGCTCCAAATTTTTGTTCTTATATGTGGGTGGGTGATAATTCAGTAGGTATTACTCTTTTTCTACCACTTATTTAGGCATAACTAGGATAAAAAAAGAAATAAAAAATGCCTTGTTTTCTTTAATTTTATTAAAAATACATATACAGACATTTAAAGGACGGCCTTTAACTATACATAAATACATAAATGCTTATTACAATGTCTCGTTTATAATTTGTGAATTTGTCACGTTACAGTTTAAGCCATACATGTAACAACCATTGGAGCTTAATGATTTTTTTTTACATATTTTTGTCGCGATAAATATATTTATGAATTCTTCGACTGGTTCATTAAAAACACT